TTCTGAGGAAGGGTCCAGACCCAAAACATCAGCTTTCCTGCTCCTCTGATGCTGCTTGGCCTGCTGTGTTCATCCAGCTCTGCACCTTGTTATCTCAGATTCTCCAGCATCGGCAGTTCCTACTTTCACTGGGTGGGTCTTGTTTAGTTTGTCCCTTTATCTGCTTGCCTTCTTTTTCTCTCACTTTCTGGACGCTGTTTCGACCTATCTGTCTCACCAGCCCCACTTCATCAATATAAATGCTATTTTCAGTTCTAATGAAGGGTCACTGGACTGGAAATATTAACATTTCTTTTCTCAACCAGATACTGCTAGACTTGCTAAGTTTCTCCAGCACTTTCTGTTTTTGTTTGTTTCTTTGGAATTATTTATCTTGGCCTGAAACCTTTGCTCATAATCTTTCTTTGTTTCTTAAATATGATGTTTCATGTGTCCACTCAACCTGTATTTTTCTTAATCTCAAATGTATTTTCTGCCTGACACTTATCTTAAGTACATTTTATCTTATTTATTTGAATTTGTATCTCCTTTTTCAACAAGGCAGCTCTGGATTTGTTTGCCCATGCTTTTTCTTTTTAGTGAGTACACCTTGTCTGTACCTGAACCATCCTGCCTCTTAGAAAGTAGCCCATTGCTCAGGTAGTTTATCTTGTCACATTGAAATTGTCCTCCCCCCGTTAATTGTTCTAACTCTGGAGTGCCTATTGTCTTTTTCTATTATCTTCCTAAACCTTGTAATATAATGACCATTGTCTCCAAAGTGTTCCTCCACTGACTATTGATGTACTTGGCCCATCTCATTTCCAAGAACAAAGTCCAACAGTGCATCCTTTCTAGTTGGATTGGACACATAATGATGTGAGAAGTTTTTCTGAACACAATCTAGGAACACTTGTTGCTCTCTGCTCTAAATGTTTCCTTCAACCCGTGTTTTGTAATAATCACTCTTCTGTAGTGTTTCATAAAGGATGTTAATAACTGTTCTGATAAGGAGTTATCAACCCGAAATGCCACAGATTCATTTGACCTGAATTTTACCAGCATTTTGTTTTATATTTCAGAATTCCAGTATCTGCAGTATTTTGCTTTTGAGCGTTCAATAATTTTCTTTATCAGAATGTACATTCAACCTCACACTTATTGACATCTTTGGTTTGTTTGTTCTTTTTACCATTGTATCGAATTCCTTTAGCAAATCTTATTGGTGTTCAGAATTATTTATTTTCACTTCCTTCTTATTTTTGTACTTATTGCTACTTTCAGTATTCCCTAGATCTATTCCAAATCATTTAAGATATTTTAATGATCAAAGAATTATTGGAACAATGAATATTGAAGTTGTCCATCAGAACCATTTGGAATCCCCAGTGAAACTGACTTCATTGGAATTGCTGGGGAAATTGAATTTGCAATGCCCCTGCATCTGAATCATTCCAAGAGTTGATTTAAGTCAGCGAATTTGGAGTGTTTTGACTCACTAATGCGAATTACTTAACCAGGAAAAGTTAGAGAATTAGAAAACTCTAAAACCTATAAATCCGGTGTAACGATTAAACTGAAATTTCAATTCATCATGCATCGTATCAACTACATCTTGTCTGACCCCTGACCACTAAGAACATTCTCTCCTCCCCAGCTGAGCAGACCCAATCCCTGTCTTGACCTGATTGCAGACCCCTGGCCCACTCCCATCACTCTCCTGACCATCTCCACAGTCTCACCACTTTCTTATCACTTGTCAGACTTGATGAACTGCCTCTTCCACCAAATGTAACTCCCTCTGATCTGAGCATAGACCTCCTGGCATGACCAACTCCCTACCTCACATACCTTTCTCTGCTAGTCTGATATTCCTGGATCCAAATTCCCTTCCCACGTCTGGCCTGGCCATCATGGACCCGACACTGCTTCCTCCACCTGGCCTGAACCTCTCAGACTCGACACCTTACTCCATGCCCCAGACTCAATTTACAGTTGCAAAAGGGAATATGATTTTTATAAAGATTTTCTTTGCTGCTGGGTCCATGTATTTCTGGAACAGGTTTGCAATTGGAGGTCCCTGTCCAGGAATCTCCAGTGCAGAGGGCACCTAAAGTTAAGTGGGTAATTTTAATTCACTCAAGTTCAGAAATATGGTTTACTATTCTGAATCAAAAATCTGGACTAGAAACTTAAGGTTCAAGTCCCTTCTACATCTTGTTGGCTATCGGAGGAGTATTCATAATGTGGTTCAGCTGGCTAATAATCTACTAATGAAATTGGACCAACTTAAAACAATCATGACTAGAGGATAATAAACCAGTGTTATGACCTCAGCTGATGTGATTACTGAACAAGTTAGATTCCAGACTGAAATCTGGCTTGCTAGGACATATTTTATTTTTGAATTAAACAAGGTGGTCTTTCACAGAAACATAGGCACGCAATGCTGCAGATTTGTTTTTAGCAATAAAACAGAAGTTTATTATGTAAAACAAATGAAGATAAACAGATAAACAAAAACATTTACACATAACACAAGTTTAAAGATATTGAAACACATCGTTAAATACGATCCCACTAATCCCTACAACACTCTTTACAGTACACACACCAGAGAGAGATGTGGAGCTGGAGGAACACAGCAGACCAGGCAGCATCAGAGGAGCAGGAAAGCTGACATTTCGGGTCTGGACCCTTCTTCAGAAACGGGGGAGGGGAAGGGGGCTCTGAAATAAATAAAGAGGTGGGGCGGTGATAGAAGGTGGATAGTGGAGTGGATAGATGGGAGAGAAGATAGACAGGTCATGGAAGCAGGGATGGGGGGGTGAGGCTGGTCTTGGGATGAGGTCGGGGGGTGGGGAGATTTTGAAGCTAGTAAAGTCCGCATTGAAACCATTGGGTTGTAGGCTTCCAAGGCAGAATATGAGGTGCTGTTCCTTCAGTTTCCGGGTGGCATCGTTGTGACATTGGAGGAGGCCCAGGATGGACATATTGTCCAGGGAGTGGGAGGGGAAGTTGAAGTGGTTCACAACTGGGAGGTGTTGTCGTTTGTCGCAAACCGAGCATAGGTGCTCCACAGAGCGGTCTCCGAGCCTCCGCTTGGTCTCCCCAATGTAGAGGAGGCCACGTCGGGAACAGCAGATACAATCGACCACATTAGCGGATTTGCAGGTGAACATCTGTTTAATGTGGAAGGTTTTTTTGGGGCGTGGGATGGGGGTAAGGGCGGAGGTGTGGGGCAGGTGTAGCACCTCCTGCGGTTGCAGGAAAAGGTGCCAGGGGTGGTGGGGCTAGTGGGGAGTGTGGAGCGGACGCGGGAGTCACGGAGAGAGCGGTCCCTCCGGAAGGCAGATAAGGGTGGGGAGGGAAATATATCCTTCGTAGTGGGGTCAGATTGCAGGTGGCGGAAGTGGCAGAGAATGATGCGTTGAATCCGGAGGTTAATGGGGTGATACGTGAGGACAAGGGGAATTCTGTCTTTGTTTTTATTGCGGGGAGGAGGTGTGGGGGCTGAGGTGCGGAAATGCAAGAGATGCGGCTGAGGGCATTTTCGACCACCCCTGGGGGGGGGACTTGCGGTCCTTGAAAAACAAGGACATCTGGGATGTCCGAAACGTCAGCTTTCCTGCTCCTCCAATGCTGCCTAGCCTGCTGTGTTCCTCCAGCTCATACCTTATTATCTCAGACTCCAGCATCAGCAGTTCCTACTATCTCACCAGAGAGAGAATTTCTTCCTCTAAAACACAATCACACATGGGTTTGATTTAACAGATGCTTCTGTTCCTGGTCTTGAGCATCTGATAGCCTCTTCCCTGAGCCTTCATATAACTAAATGTAAACTTTCTCAGCTTCGAATACCCCTTCATGTTTTAAACAAAAACTTCTTGTCTTGGACTTTAAAACTCTCTTCTTTACACAGAGGTAATTTATTTAATGACGGAACCGAAGTATCTTCTTTCCAAGTAATGGTTTCACACATTCAGCTTCAGCCAATGCTTTGTAAAAGCTGCCCAACTGAAATTCAAAGGTTTTTTTTAAACAGACTATGGGTGCTTCCTCATTCAAAAGGAAAAATATCAATTTCTGACTTTCGAAACTGAAAGCTCAATACACAACTGTTTTACTTTGTTCACTTGTAAAAACTCTCCCAATTACGACTAATTCCAACTACTCTCCAAGAATTCTCTTTTTCAGGTTATGCTTTAAAAGAAACAACAATTACTACAGAGTTAATCATGAAAAAGTTCTGAAGAAGAATCATATCAGATTTGAAACATTAACTCTGTTTCTCTCTCCACAGATGGTGTCAGATCTTTCTCCAATACATTCTGTTTTTATTTCAGGTTTCCAGCATCTGTGGTATTTTGCTTTTGTATTAATCCTTAAAATCCTGAGGCATATAAATAAGAACCCACATACCATAAATTCAAATCCAACTTTATTTAAATAAATATATATCACACACCTTACATTGGAATTTTGAAGAAGGGTAGGTGACCTTATTGAAACATTCATGATGCTTGGGGACTTGACAGGATAGATGCAGAAAGGTTGCTTCCACTTGTGGGAGAGTCTAGGACCAGAGGGCATTATTTCAGAATAAAGGGTCATCCATTTAAGACAGAGATGAGGAGGAATTTCTCCTCTTAAAGGGTAGTGAATCTGTGGAATTATTCGCTGGAGAGGGCTGTACGCGCTGAATTATTAAATATATTCAAGACTAGAGAATCAAGAGTTATCGGAAAAGGGCAAGAAGGTGATGATCTCATTTGAATGGCACAGCAGACCCAGTGGGCTGACTGACTTACCTTGATTCCTAAGCCTTGTGATCTTATGATCTTATCACACTGGGAAAACTAATGGAACTAAAGGCTAACAAGGCATGTTATAATCTTTTAAAGTTCCCTAGATTCTGGAAGGTCCTATGGAATAGAAAATGTAACACTTGTGATCAAGAAAGGAGGGACAGCAGATGTACAGAACTTTAAACCAGTTCAGCTAAACATCTATCATTGAAAAAAATGCCAGAATCCATTGTTAATAAGATGCAGAATATTTAGAAAATCATAACACAATCAGACAGTGTTAACATAGCTTTACAAAAGGGAAATGGTTTGACAAATTTATTAGAGTTCTTAAAGAATAGAGCATGCAGGGTGGATAAAAGAAATCAATAAATGCAGTTTACTTGGATTTTGAAAAAGACACTTACTTAGGTGCAATTTAAATGGTTAGGGCTTTAGCCAAGAGCTTATGGTGTTTGGGGCAGCATGCTCACTAACTTTTTTCTTCTGTGCTGACTTCAGAAGTCCATGTGCAACAGCAACTTCTGGAACCAGAAATCAATGCTGTGAAATGTGTTGGCATGCCAATTGCTGTGCATAGACCGTCAAAGAAGATTTCTGATTTGTTTCTGATTTCCAGTTTCCACAGTTTTTGTTTTCTTTTTGTCGGGATTCATTGATAATTTTCAATTTAGCAAACAAGTGAAATGTCAAAGGGATCAGTGTTAGGGCTTCAATTATTTATGATCTAAGTCTGTGACTTGGGTAAGGGATTAACTGTACCATTGCCAAATTTGCTTATGATATCATGAATGCAGGTAGGAGAAAAAGTCGTGAGGAGCTTACAGAGTTTGCAAATGGATAAGTTAGTAGGTTAAGTGAGAAGGCTGTTTTCTATCAGAAGGTCATTCGTCTTTGTAAATCTCTTCCGCAAACAGCAGCGTAGGCTGAAAGAAAAACAGAAATTGCTGGAGAAACTCAGCGGGTCCAGCAGCATCTGTGGAGAGAAGAGAGTTAATGTTTCGAGTCCAGTGACCCTTCTTCAGAAAAGCGAAGCCTGAATCGTTAAATGTATGCAAGGCTCAAATCATGCACAATACACTTTAAAAACGTGAATGGTGAGAAGCGATCGACATTAGGGCAGCAAACCTCTCCAAAATTATATCGTCTGTACATTAACTACCGCTCCATTCTCACAGAGAGGGTTGTGAGCATGCGCTGGATTGTTTACACTCGGGAGCAGGCGCAGTCGATGGTGCTGATGGGTCCCTCCCCTCCCCACCGGCAGTGGGATGGGGCGGGGCTAACGCTGCTGTCAGTTTGCGGGGCGGGCTGTAATAATTACCATAGTGACCGGCAACAGACTGCGGCTGGTACATCCATCGCAGCGGAGTCGGAGCCTAAGCGTAGGCCTGGGCGGAGCGGAGTAGACCAGACCGCTGCCCTACCCTCCCCGTAACCTGTAAGTACCGTCTGGAGCTCGGTCAGGTACAGAACTAGGCCCCAGGAGCAGCCTGTCGCATCCGGATTTATGGCAGTCTGTCAATGTTGCTTCCTCCCGCACCCCCGCCCCCGGCAGGTTGTGCGGGGAATGCAGTTTGTGAACGCAAGGGGGTTTTGTGCGTGAGCTATATGGAACTTCAGAAACGAAAGTGAAATTGTTCATAATAGGTTCCAGTAAATCAGCATGTTACTACGTTTTTGTTGTGCAATGTCATCGTGTGTATTTCCTACAGACATTGGTGAGGTGTTGACCGTGTAACTTGCGCTAAATTAGACAACATGTAATCTTTCCACCTCAGGGCACTTACTTTAATATTTTATTGTCTTCTTTCTTATCAATGTTTGCATTTAATCAAAGTCTGAATTTCAATTGCACTTGGTATTTTTGACTTTGGAAGAACGTACATTTGTTTTTATTGCTGAAGAAAGATGAAGAGCAGAAGCTTCTTGTACTCATCAGGAACGATGCAAGAATGCCAAGTTTCAGACATCATAACAGTTTATACTGGGAGAAAAAGGTTGATGCTGATTGGCTGAAGCAGTGATGTACAATGCTGTAACAAGTTATCAAGGGTGCTTGAAAGAAAATTGATTATCATAGTACATTCAAAAATAGAGATTATGGCTGTATAACAGTTTATGGGATGATCAGTAACAGCAAATTAAGTACTTTTTGCATAACACGTTGTGGTGTGGGAAGCATGGCAGCCAATTTTAAAACAGCAAGCTCCTGCTATTGACAATGTGATAATAGCTATATCTTATTTTGTGATAGAGATAGTAGGAACTGCCGATGCTGGAGAATCTGAGATAACAAGGTGTAGAGCTGGATGAACACAGCAGGCCAAGCAGCATCAGAGGAGCAGGAAAGCTGACCTGTTCATCCAGCTCTACACCTTGTTATCTCTTATTTTGGGATGTTGCTTGAGGGATAGATATTGGTCAGACCATTGTGGAAATAGAACATTGGGCTCTTTCACATTCAACTTTGACGGTATTCAGGACTTGACTTAAGATCTGCCAAGTTATGGAACCTTTGACAATGCAGCACTTCCTTGGATTTTTGGGACCTGAAATTCGCTGATATAAGCATGCGAACAACTAAACCATGACTGAGACACCACGATAAAGGGCAGAGGATTTTGTAATCTTTAAGGAAACTTGAAGGAATGAAAGTCTTGCATGCATGTATTATTTTCTTGTAAGTTGTCTTCAGAACAGAATACATTTGACCAAAAAGGTGTATGCTAAGTCGAAGACCAAAAATCTAAAAGCATGAAATTGCAGGATTTTGCTAATTTTGTTACTTATGTCCAAGTTGACATAGTGTAGCTTTTGGTGGCAAACTTGATGGTGGTGATAAGTTTAATGATCTTGCTGCTATTTTCTTTGGTGGAAGAAGTCTTTGGGCTGGGAAGATGATGTTGAATTAAGCTTGGTGAGTTTCTGCAGTGTCCAACAGGCAGTAGTATATACTGTTGCCACTAAGTGCCAAGGGAGAGGACTGTTTAGTGGCAAGCAGATGGCCTGCTATATTTCCTGGATGGTTGTTAAGCCTATCCTAGCATGTTGTCAGCATGAAATTGAGCAGTTAATTCGAACCTTATATGAAGTGAAGAGGCTTTGAGGAGCAATTTGGCGTGATATTTGTCAGAACGTAGCACGCCATTACCATTCTATTGTAGCCATGTTGTTACAATGGTTGGTTCCGTTAACTGTCTGTTTAGTGATAATCCCCAGTGATGTTCAATGGCAGTTCAGGAATAATAGTACTACTGAAGATGAGAAGGAGTGGTTGAAGGTGATGGGGATTGTCTGACACGTGTCAACTCCAGTCTAGATGTTTGTCCTTATTCTGTGAGACCAGAACTGATTGATTTGTGTAAGTAAATGTAAATGATTTGAATGTTGTAGAATCATTCATAAATGGTCCTATTCCTGATCTGAAGGAGTTAATGATTTTGCAGCAGATGAAGATGCTTGGTTTGAGGACATTGCACTTAGAAACTCCAGCAGTGAGGTCCTGAGGAATTAATTGGCCTTAAACTGTAATCATCTATATTTGTTAAGTGTGATTCAAGCCTTTGGACCATGTCCTTTATGACTTGTAAGCTTTTAGAAATGCATCTTCCTGTGTTTTCTCAAATGATAGTGAACATTCTAAAGCACAGTTAGGAAAAATGTTTTAAAATTCAAAGCTTCTATAGGAAGAAGAACATGGAACAGCTGTACTCTCCTGGATCACCTTTGATGGCAAATTGAGGCTGTTATTCCTCAAAGCAAATATCCTGACTTTTTGTAGTTTGGATCATTTGTAAAAATTGTCAATATTTAGCTCCTTTTTGAAGTAAGATTAGCAACGGTAACTGCTGATGAAAGCAATGAATAGTATCCCAATAAAAGAATGTCTTTCAGCTAAGCTGTTACAATGACTGCCTATATATCTGTTCATATAGATAAATAAAGAACCAAAAGCACTATCAAAGGAGGCAGGGAGTTCTCTTGTTAATCTAGCTAATTAAACAATCTGATTAGCTGGTCACTTTCCTTGTTGTTGATCGTGGGACCTAGGTGCATACTTTACTTCAGAAAAGAACTGGGGCATCTTTAGGATATGAAACATACAGTACAAACTTGTCATGAGATGATAGAATGAAAGAAGTAAAATAACACGGTTTCTTTTAAATTGTTGCAGACTATGATTTTTCTGTGAAGTGACTGAATGCTTAGGGTATAAATTGTTCACAATTTCTAACGACTCTGATCTTAATTAACATATTATTTAAGAATTATATATTCTTTCTTTTATGGCATGTTCCAGCCTGTTTAGAACTCCTATTTTGGCTGAAAGGGAAAAGAACGGAAACTGTAACTGGATCTTCTTTGTAACTGTGGTAGAGGTGACCTTTGTTCTTTTCCTCCTTTCATGCTTAGAGTCCTTCCATTTAGTACCTTTCCATGATGACATTGGTGTTTGGATGTCTGTTATCAAAGCTATCACATATGCCACAAAACCTATGAACAAGCGTTTCAGTTAAATATGATGCAATTTTTTTTGAGAACGATACTGTAATTTTAATCTCTCTCTTATCTCCAGCTCCTCTTGCACCTGCAGAAATTCCAACAGCAGTTGACAGCTTCATGTTGAATCAGCTGCAATGAAGCTGCGTGTGCGAGTTCAAAGACAGAGAGGTTGGGTGGAGTTGGAGCAGGATGAGCCTACTCTTGCTGACCTGCGCAGTAAGATTACTAACTGTCTTTTACCATCTATGGGATACAGGCAAGTGAAGCAGAATCACATTGCTGTTTCTATGATTAAATATATTAAGTCTGCTGTTAATATGGTTTGATATGGGATATGTCTTTATTTTCATGTTGCCAAATGGATTATTTTACCAATTGAAAAGCTTTTATGATGCTCAGCTAACAAATCATTGACATTGTTGATAATTTTAGAACATAGAGGTATAGTGGAAATCACAACTGATACCTTGTAATTCTTATCGAAAATTATAAGTATGTGCAGCCTATAAGAAAGTTTAGGCTGTTGCTCAAGTGGGATGCAAATTTCTATTCTGTTACTACTGTGTTAAATTTTTCCTGCCGGTGGATGTCAAGGTAGCAAGTAATGCTATTAGAATTTGTTGCAGGAACTGACACCTTGCTAATTTCATTTATCTATTAATGTTGGTTCACTCAAAATTGTAGTTTCAAAGCTTCAGTGACTAAGATGTGAATTCATTATAAATAAATAGATACAGCATTTGCAGCACAAAAACAGGCTATTTATTGAAAAAAAAAGTGCTATTTGTTTCCAGCTTTAAAAAGAAGATTCTATTTAGTTATCATTTGTTTGAAGAAATAACATGAAGTTTAGACAAGGGTAATAAAGTTTAATGTTTTAGCGAAGATCTGTAGCTTGGGTTGTGGCTGGAGTTGTTGGGTGGTTCGCTGAGCTGACTGGGTTTCATCTCCTTCCGAGTGACATCTTCGGTGCTGTCTAGCCTCCTTTGAAATGCTGTTGTTCTGTCCTGCTCTGAATTTATATGGTCTGGTCTGTCAGGGTGGGTAGCCCTGTTTTTTTTTGTACCCTAGTGGTATGTAGATGGTGTCTATTTCAACATGTTTGTTTATCACACCGATGGTTGAACCAGGCCTCCAAAAATTCTCGTGCTTGTCTTAGTCTTGCTTGTCCTCATACTGTAACTTTGTGCCAGTTAAACTGATGTCCTTCTATGTCAGAGTGTATTGAAATGAGGGAGAGTTGGTCATGCCGTTTTGCGCAAGTTGGTGTCCACATATCCTGCCTGTCTGTCCTATGTAGTTTTTCACTCAGTTGCTGCACGGTATTTTGTATATATATTTGTATATTACTGACGAATGTAAAGGATCCCATACCCAAAACAAACAAAACTGGGGTAATATACAAAATACCAATCAAGCACTGTGAGAAACACTACAGAGGCTAAACCAGAAGAAAATTGACAATACAGATACATGAACACCAACTAGCCACCAAGAGACACGACCAATTCTCACTTGTCTCACTACACGGACAACGAGGGACACGAATTCGACTGGGACAAGTCAAACAGAGACACGCCAGTGAATTCCTGGAGACCTGGTATTCCAACCGGAACTCCATAACACATTAAATTAGACCCTGCATATAAACCACTGAGAAACAAAACCGGAAGTAATACCCACCACCCCAGCGCACACAGGCATATAAATAACAAGCGGGACAGAACACCGTAGCTTCACCGGAGGCGCACTGACGATATTACCCAGCAGGGTAACAAAACGTTTGCAACCAAACCCACCAGCTCAGTGAGCAAGTCTACAACCTCATCTACAACCCGAGCTATAAATCTTCTCAAACTTTATAGAAGGACATCAGTTTAACTGGGACAAGAAAACCAAAGACGAGCGCAAGAATTCCTGGAAGTCTGGTTTTCAGCCACTGGTGCGATAAACAAACATGTTGAAATAGACCCCATCTACATACCACTAAGGTGCAAAACCAGAAACAGGACTACCCACCATGACAGACTGGACCATATAAATTCAGAGTGGGACAGACCAACAGCACTTCAGTGGAGACTAGACAGCACTGAAGATGTCACCTAGGAGGGAGACAAAACGTTTGCTCGAAAACCAGTCAGCTCAGCGAACCAACCAACAACTCCAGGGTAATAAATTGAATGTAATCTATGTGCAGGTTAGCAGGTCTTTGATAAGATGCTGTGTGAGGGATTCATCAAAGGCTTGGGACCAGCAAAGTGTTTCAGGCAGCAAAAAGTGTGAATTATTGTCCTTTAGAGATGTCTGCAGAGACCATGTTGCATTGTCCAAGTGTGATTTGGAGTCGAGAAATTGAAACTGTTTGATCAATTATTTGGTCCCTTTTAATTTTTCTTCCTTTTGACTCAGGGTCCAGTTTATTTTCCATTTGTGAAAGCACCTTTTGCTTTTCTATCTTGTGCAAATGACAATTACTGTACTGGAGGCTCAGATTTCACTCCAACTCAACAAAGCTTTTAAAAGATTTGATAAATTCTCTTAAATCAACCATGTTGTTCACTAAAATAGTTGGAAATGCAATGTTTGATGCTAACCTTATGAACAGACATTGTTTGTAAGATCTTTTAATAATCCTATACTTCCATTTACTGAATGTGTTAAACTTCACACCCTCAGAAAAAACCATTAATTATGATCACAATAAACACAAATTGATCAAAAATACTTTGGTTCTTTTTAAGAATAGAAATCTGTTTATGTATGAAAAAGTTATGAAAATTTTGTTCTAGTGGTGATTCCACAGAACAATGTAACTCAAATATATTTTGCAAAATGTCTGATCTGTCCTGATTCATTTTAACTGATTTGTTGTTGGAGGGAATCAAGATCCTCTCTTTAAGAAAGGGGTTGTTGTGAAGTTTACGAGGAGTACTTTTAAACGTTCTTGCTTTCTTTTTGGATTAGGCATCTGTAAAATTTCTTCTTCTGTTTCTTATTTTATAGTGCCTTTAAATGTACATTGTAGAATTAATTTAAACTATGATTTGTGTACTTACATTCTAAACAATACACATTTCTTCAAACAACAGAAAGATATTTCATTGCCCACTCTCTGCAAGTCACCTGGAGTGACAGATTTGATAACAAACCAGTCTTATCTGCCAATAAATGCTACTTAAATCTGGTTACATTAAGACTGGCAAAGCCAATCCTTATACTCTTTAAATTTTTTGTCTGAATTTGGATACCATATTCCCAATAATTTTGAGATGTTGACATAATTCATCTTCGGAACTAGAACAAAGGTTGAAGATGAGCAGCAATTAAATAAGGACAGTGCGAAGAAAAGGGGGAAGAGAGTATAATTGGTCATGAGAGAAATATGTTTAGAATAATCTGGTAAAATAGTTACGCTAATATTAATGAGTTAATAATAAAACACATGAAAGATTTGCATATGTGTGTAACTGAAGTTGCAGCAATGAGAAGAAACAGGAAAGGTTGGTAAAATGGAACAATTTGACTGAGGGGTGGTGTGAGGAAAGGAAATAACCAAGAACTAGTTTTTCAGTCAGAAAATAAGTGCTAAAAATTTGAAAATTGCATTTCCAGAATGCGGCATGGATCACACTGCCTCTGGAATTGAAGCAATTTTCTAGTAAGAATGGGAAGAGGAGAGCTAGGAACCTGTTTGCCTTCTGTGCATGTGCTGTTTGAGCTCATTGGATTAACAAACAGGCCTCAGAGGAGTTATTTCAACTTCTCAATCATGAGCCGTGGGGAGCACAATGACGGTTTATGTCAGGGTTTGAATACAACTGGTAGATCTGCAGGCCAGTGGAGGTGCTCGTTAGTATATTTAAAATACTTCAAGGGAGTGTTGATGTATGAATGTGGAAAGGATGATTGTATCTTGTGGGAGAATCTAGAAATGCTACTAACCTAGAATCACTTTTTATAAATAAGAGGGCAGTTATTCTGCTGGTCAGACAATCATCATGTTCTGTGGAATCCCCTTTGTTGCATATTCCAGAGAAATTGCCTGAGAAAATTCATTTTTGCTGGGCAATTCCTTAAGCACTAAAGATTCCTCTGAAAGTCGTTATTTAAATCAGAGACTTTGGATACTTCACATGTAATTAGATAAAATAGATACTTCGGACAAATTAGGCTATTAAACACATAGGGCCAGATTTTACTACATAATCTCGCACAGATTGCTACTCTGGCCCTTTTTTATTACAAAAGAAGGGATCTCTGCTCTCTAAGAGGAGATTCCATTCAGTGTTCTCTTATAAATGCTGAACCGTACTTCCACTCTGACAGTTCTTTCATAGCGCAGATCTGTTAGAGGAAGGCAAACCACACCCCCTTTTTACAGCTGTCAGCTGCCATATTCTGACATTTAAAGATCCTGACAGCCACTTTGACAAAGAAAGTATAGAAGGTAAGTGTGATGGTAGGGTGTCATGTAGTAGGATGCCAGCTGGTTAGAGTGTAAAGTGGTGGGTGGTGGGGCAGGTAAATGTTTAAGGTCGATTGGGGAAGGCTGGAGAAATTGGGTCCAACAGTTTGCTGGGTGACTGACCTGGGGGGGGCTTGCATCTGACAGCATGGGAGGCGGGATTGGGTTGCATTAAGTCAGCTGTGACAGGGTGAGGGGAATGGGTGGTCTGGTTTGACTACTGGTGGGATGGGTAGGTGTTGAAGTGATTCTGCTATTCTTAGGTGGTCTGGCCCGCACATGATTCCAGACCTACAACAATATGGTTGACTCTTAAATGACCTAGGGAAACAGTCAGTTCAAGGGTAACTAACTAAGGATGGGCAACAAAATGCTGGCCCTACCACTGACACCCATACGATACAATAAAAAAATTGAAGCTAAAGGAAAAGGTACATATTAAATAATAATTTATTTTCTCATAACTAATGGTGAATGATGCAGACAAAGCGTGTGCTTGATGTATCCATAGACTAATGTACTGTTCCAGGAAGATCTAACTGAGTCCAGCTTGAGGGGGTGCCACTCCATATCAAGCTTGGTTGACCAGGACACACTCCTCCTTTGTAAATTAAATGTACAAGAGTAGAACAACAAAATAAGGTATGATGATTTTATGGAAGAAGTAAAGAAAACTTACATTAGCAAAAAGAAATGAAGGTAAATGATCAAAGAATAAGTTAAGAAATAGTAAAATATGCTAGAGTCTTATCAGTTTAAAAAAAAGACAGGCAGGTATAGGGCCATTAAAGCGTGAACAAAATAAAGTCAGAATATGATTGTGAAATGTATTGAACACTTTATTTACTGAGGAAAGAAATAATGTTTGGATGACACTAGAAGAAGAAATATTGAAAAGATGAGAGGGATGATGATGACTAAATAAATCACACACCATTCCAGGATGGTCTGCAACCCCATATTTAGCATTATGGAAGAGAGCACCTAGGCATGACTGCACAGAAAATGAATAGTTTTTGAAGATCAATGAACATCTGATTTTTTAGATATATATTTAAAAAGGGAGATGGAATTAGTCTAGATACTATAAATAAGTTGGCTTGAAGTGGTAGAAAAATAAATAAACTGACAATTGGAAATTCAGGAAAATAGTTTTTATCCAGCCATTGGTTAGAATGTAGAATGGGCTACTACAAGGAAGAGTTGAAGCAATTAATGTTGATGTATTTAAGGGGAAATTGAGTAAGAACCTTCGGGCGAAAGGAATAAAGGGGTTTTGCTGATGGGGTTAGATAATATAGGGTAGAATAAGGTTCATGTGATGAAAATCACTGGAGTGGATCAGTTGGGATGACAAGCTAGTTTCTGTGTTTGGATAATCACTATAAATCTGATATTGTCCCAGTTGTTGAGGTCTACTATTGTGTTTTGAGGTGGGAGAAAATTCAAAGAAAAACTGAGGAGACTGTTGCTTCATTTTTCTTTTATGTCTTAATGGAATGTTAGCAGCATAATCTAGAATTGACAACAGGTTACAAGGAAACAGGCACTTATTTTCTAAAAGTTTAACCCTGGACAATTTCTATTTAGTAATCATTTGTAAATTGATTACTTTGTAAGTTATCTTAATTAACCCCTTTCACTAGGGACATAGGTTTAGAGTAAAAGGGGATAAGTTTAAACGAGATGTGAGAGGCAAGTTTGTTTACACAGGGCACCTGGAATGTGGCGGTGGAGGCAGGTTCGTTGGCAACATTTAAGAGGCATCTTGACAGCTTTACAAATAGGCAGGTGATGGAGAGTTATGGACTGCATAGATGCAAAAGGTTTTAAGTTTGGAAAGGCATCATATGTCGGTGCAGTCTTGGTGGACAGAAGGGCGTGTTTCTGTGCTGTACTGTTCTTTTATAGTTGTAATTAATTGTGAAATGATTACATTAGACATGTCATGTGACTATTTTGATAATATGGTAGGATCTGCATATGTATTGTGAATTGTATGGTTCTGCAGTTTTTGAGGCACATGGAATATCTTCTTTTATTTGAGGGGACAAAGAACTGCAGTGGAATTTGTATATCTTTTTGTATATATGTATGGAAAGTTTATATCACTATTTTAAACTTTTATGTTGTTCTGTGCTTTTATTTTAAAGTTCCGATACTGAATTCAACATCAGTTTAAATGGGAAAGATGTTCTGACTGATGACCAGCAAACCATGACATCGATAGGAATAGTCTCTGGGGATTTGATTTGCTTAATACTACCTGATGCCTTTGCTCCTTCTGCCTCTGGATCAGTGTCAGACTTGAATGTAAAGAAGAAACCATCACACTCAAATAATGCTCAGATTCAGGGCATTGTAAATGGTGGGAATAGACTCGAGTCCAGTCATGAGATTGATGCTCGTGCACATCAGCAGTCTGAAGCAAATGTCCAGAATTCATCACCTGACGAGATGCCCATGGCATTTGAAGAAACCCCAATAAAATATCCAGATGAGCCAATGCTGTGTAGTGAAGCAATGGATGGAATGGTGCCACATTCATTAGAAGCCCTTTATCATTCTGCTGAGTGCACCAACCCAAAGGATGCTTTGATTGTAGTGCTTCATCTGCTCATGCTGGAGGCAGGATACATTCCACAGGTAAACGACATGAGTGACATGAAATTCACTAAATGATCTGCATATGTAGAGTGTGAAATTAAAACGTTGATGTCTGAACATCTGGAGCATTAGACCTAATCAGAATGAATTTGCCTCATAATCAATGGAATCATGGTTAACCTTTCCATCCCTTCACCATGCGCATCACCCACTCTGTGCTGAACTTTTCTCTATTTTAATATGAATCCCTGTCCTATACCTGTGTTTTACACAGTGTATTCAGTGTATAGGATGTTGAAAACTGTTGTTCCACTTTTCTGTACTTAAACCAATATAAAAATTGTTATTGTATTGTACTCTTGTATAAGAATACATTTGTCCCCAAATCAAGGCCTCTGAAAATAGATTAAATAGTTATTTCTGCAACTGTATTTGCAAATTGCCACCTGTCAACAAAACAGGCGTAACTATACTTCAGAAGCAATTAGTTGGTGAAAATACTTTAGTCTGTTGTGAGTCTTTTACCACACCGATATCCATATGTTAAATTAGATAGAAAAAAGACTTTCAGAAATGTAGAGGTTTCATTGTAACTTGACAGAATAGAACAGTCATCAGTTTCTGCCTGTCCCTATCCAGAAGCCAACCCCCAACTTGGAGAGAACTCAGCACTTAGAAGGGTACCATCAATTAAACTAAACTAAATTCGAACAACAAAACTCTGTTTAGGTATTTTCTGTTCAGAGATGTTATTACACACATCTGGAGCAGTTGGGACTTGTACCTGGGCCTCCTGGCACACTGTGCCATGAGTACCCCCCAACAAAGGATTCTGGGTAATCCAAGATGGAGGACAGGTAAAAGTTGTAGCGTAAGAGCTGCTCCTTTTTTGAGGAATTTTCAGTGTTGGAGCTGATCTTCTCAAATTCTAGGAGCGGTAATTACTGTTTTTATAAGCTGTTGCATAGCTTATGAACTTTGGGAGGGGACAAAATCAAAACGACGGCACTCTAAAAGGAGGAACTCAGACAAAGGCAGTGGCAGTGACCACATGAGAAGTGATTCAAATGGAGAAAGAAACCTACACTGCTGTCTGACCCAGCAGTGACCCTGCACAGCTACTACCTCTGCTGTTTAATTTCAAGTATTTCTGGACATCGGAGTTCACCTGAGAACAAATTAACAAACAGTGAAATTCACAGTTGACCTTGGAGAAACCTGTGTGGGAGAGCTCACAGCAGGGGAGCAGGTAAGTGGCTTTTTAAAGTGTAAAGCTACAATAGTGAGTAGAGTGTGTTTGTTTTTTTTACTATATCTGTCTCTTGATTAAACTTTAAAAACATAAAACATAGGTACTAAGTTAGCCTGGAGCAGTGTTTTTATAGCAGTAATACTGCTATTTTCTGGGTCTATAGATATTTAAGGTGCAAAGATGGCCTTTAATAGAATGATGTGCTCTTGCTGTCGGATGTGGGAGATTAGGGAGAGTTTCCACGTTACTGATGATTATGTCTGCAGGAAGTGTATTTGGTTGCGAATCCTGTAGGATCGGTCGGAGCCGCAGTTAGAGGCAATGAGGAATTTACAGAAGCTAGTGGGTGTGATGGATGGCAGATGTAGGAAGGGAGAAAAACCACAGATACAGTTAGGTAGATGTGTTACTGTCAGGAAAGGTAGGAGAGGGAGGCAGGTCATGCAGGAGTCTCCTGTGGCTGTCCCCATCTCAAACAAATATGCTGTATGGAAAATTTTGGGGGTGATAGACTCTCCGGGGAATGTAGCATGGGCAGCCAGGTTTCTGGTACTGAGACTGGTACTGGTTCTAATGTAATGAGGGCTACGCCAGATTCCAAGCAATCGATTGTGATAGGGGACTCTCTGGTCAGAGGTACATACGGAAGTTTCTATTGCCGACAGTCAGAATGGTGTGTTGCCTCCCTCATGCTAAGATCAAGGTATTTCTCTGAGAAGTTGCAGAATATTCTCAAAGGGGAAAGGGACCAGCAGGAGGTCATTGTACACATTGGAACTAACGACATAGGAAGAGAAAAGGATGTGATTTTGAGGAGAGAATACAGGAAGTTAGGCAACAATTTAAAAAGGTGGTCCTTGAGGCTAGTAATATCTGGATTACTCCCAGTGCCACAAGCTAATGAGGGCAGGAATAGGAGGATGCAGCAGATGAATGTGTGGCAGAGGAGCTGGTATACAGGAGAAGGATTCACATTTTTGCATCATTGGAATCTCTTCTGGGGTAGAAGTGACCTGTACAAGAAGGATGGATTGCACCTGAATTGGAAGGGGGCTAATATACTGGCAGAGAGATTTGCTAGAGCTGCTTGGGGGTATTTAAATTAATAACAGGGTGGGGGGGGTGGGGCATGTGGGGATGTGGTAACCCAGGGAGATAGTGAGAAAAGAGATCAGTCTGAGACAGGTACAGTTGGGAAAAGGAGCAAGTCAAACAGTCAGGGCAGGCAGGAACAAAGCAGAGAGCGAGGTAGGACTGATAAATTTAAACTGCATTTATTTCAATGCAAGAGGCCTAACGGGTAAGGCAGATGAACTCAGGGCATTGTTGGGAACATGGGACTGGGATATCATAGCAATTACAAAGACGTGGCTCAGGGATGGAGAGGACTGGTAGCTTAATGTTCCAGGGCATAGATGCTACAGGAAGGATTGAAAGGTGGGGTCGGGTGGCAAAAGAGGAGGGGGGAGTGACATTTTTGACTGGGGATAACATTGTGGCTGTACTTAAGGAGGATATTCCATGGAATACGTCCAGGGAAGTTGTTTGGATGGAACTGAGAAATAAGAAAGGGATGATCACCTAATTGGAATTGTACCATACATCCCCAAATAGTCAGCAATAAATTGAGAAACAAATTTCTCAGAAGATCTCAGTTATCTGTAAAAATCATAGGGCATTTATGGCAGAGGATTTTAACTTTCCAAACATAGACTGGGACAGCTATCATGTTAGAGGCTTGAATAGAGAGGAATTTAAATGTACAAGAATATTTTCTGATTCAATATGTGGATGTACCTACTAGTAAAGGTGCAAAACTTGACCTACTCTTGGGAAATAAGGCAAGGCAGGTGACTGAGATGTCAGTGGGGACTACTTTGGGGCCAGCAGTCATAATTCTATTCGTTTTAAAATAGTGATGGAAAAGGATAGACTGGATGGAGAAGTTAAAGTTCTAAATTGGAGGAAGGCTGATATTGATGTTATTTGGCAAGAAGTTTCAAAAGTTGACTGGGGGCGGATATTTGCAGGTAAAGGAATGGCTAGAAAATGGGAAGCCTTCAAAAATGAGATAATGGGAGTCCAGTTAGGGTGAAGGGCAAGGCCAAGTGTAGGGAATGTCGAATGACTAGAGAAATTGAGGTTTTGGTCAAGGAAAAAGAAGGAAGCTTATGTCAGGTGTAGACAGCAAAGTTCAAGTGAATCCCTAGAAGAGTTTAAAGGCAGTAGGAGTATACTTAAGAGGGAAATCAGGAGGGCAAAAACGGGATGAGATAGCTTTGGAAAATAGGGTTAAGGAGAATCCAAAAGGATTTGACAAATACAGTAAGGACAAAAGGGTAACTGGAGGAGAATAGGGCCCCTTAAAGATCCGCAAGGCCACCTATGTGTGAAAACGCAGGAGATGGCGGAGATACGAAATGAGTATTTTGCAGCAGTGTTTGCTGTGGAGAAGAATATGGAAGATATAGAACGTGGGGAAATAAATAGCGACATCTTGAAAAATATCCATATTACAGAGGTGGTGGTGCTGGACGTCTTAAAATGCATAAAGGTGGGTAGGTCCTCGGGATCTGATCAGATGTACCCTAGAACTCTATGGGAAGCCAGGAGAGTGATTCTTGGGCACCTTGCTAAGAAATTTGTATCATCGATAGCCACAGGTGAGGTGCCGGAAGACTGGAGGTTGGCTAACGTGGTGCCACTATTTAAAAAAGGTGTTATAGGGGATTCTATCGTTAGGGGGATAGATAGTATCCTTTGCAAGCTGGATCGGGAGTCCCGCATGGTGTGTTGCCTGCCCGGTGCCAGGGTACAGGACATCTCTGACCGGCTTGAAAGGATATTGGAGCGGGAGCGGGAGGGGGAGGATCCAGTTGTTGTGGTCCACGTTGGGACTAACAACATAGACAAGGCTAGGATGGAGGACCTGTTTGGGGATTATCAAGCACTAGGAACGAAATTAAGGAACAGGTCCTCGAGGGTCATAATCTCCGGATTACTGCCCGAGCCACGTGCAAATTGGCTTAGGGATAAGAAAATTAGGGAAGTAAACACGTGGCTGAAGGAGTGGTGTGGGAAAGAGGGGTTCCATTTCATGGGGCATTGGCATCAGTTTTGGAACCGGAGGGATCTGTACCGATGGGGCGGTCTCCACCTGAACCGATCTGGAACCAGTGTTCTTGCGAAAAGGATAAATAGGGTGGTCACTAAGACTTTAAACTAGTGAGTTGGGGGGAAGGGAAAGGGAAAACGACAGGGAGTATGATGGTAAATAATAAGGTAAGCAGCAGGTTAGCATGTGTGCAGGAGGGTTTAAGTTCAAGGCAGACTATGAAAGAAGCAAAAAGGAAGGATAACTCAGGAGATATTATTAGAGATGTTGGAAATCATGAGGGTAAGAAAGCTAGCATAAAGGCACTTTACCCGAATGCTCGTAGCATTCGTAACAAGGTTGATGAGTTAACGGCACAAATCATCGCGAATGAATATGATTTGGTAGCCATTACGGAGACATGGTTACAGGATGGTCACGACTGGGAGTTAAATATCCAAGGGTACCAGACTATTCGGACGGACAGACAGGAAGGTAAGGGAGGTGGTGTAGCCCTGATATTCAAGGACGCCATCAGGGCGGTGCTGAGAGATGATCTAGGTTCTATGGAGAATGAGGTTGAATCCATTTGGGTGGAAATTAGAAATTCTAAGAGGAAAAAGTCACTGATAGGCGTAGTCTATAGGCCACCAAATAATAACGTCACATTGGGGCGGGCAATAAACAAAGAAA